TGTGGTGCCCCCGCCCGGGCAGCCCGCGACAGCCAGCTCCAGGCCCACATGCCCGCAAGAGGCTGCCCAAGCCCCCAGCTGGGGCAGTTGTCTCTGCAGGAGCTCCACATCAGCCTGCCTCCCGTGGTGGGGCAGGTAAGGGATGGGTCCTGGGGACAGGCTGGTCCATGGGGCTTCAGCATTGGCCCAAAAGAGGCACCCATTGGAGGGAGCTGAGCCTCCCCAACGCATTTAATCCCACCTCCATCACTACACATTGTCTATTTGTATCACCGCTTGCCTGGGGGCTGGGGTCTCCCACGCCGGCACTGTGCAGCCCAGAGGCAGCCCCATCCCCCAGGTTAGGGTACCGAAAGGGCAAGGCGGGATGAGGCAGTATCCAGCCTCTCTCTCCTGGAGCGTAGAGGGAATGATTTGCCCAAGGAGACGGTGGTGATGCTGGATTTGCTGCCTTTCCCTGGCAGGATGTAGGACTGTCCGAAGAGGACGAGGCTCCAGCTACAGCTCCCATGTGTCGCTGACCCTCACCCCAGCCACCCTTGTCCCAGGCTGCACAATGTGCCAGTGCTGGGCGAGGGGCGCGATGGTGCCTCAGTTTCCCCCACCCTGCTCTTGCCGCAACAGACCAGGGAAACAGAGCAGGGAAAGCAAATCCTGCCCTTCTGAGGAGAGGGCCTGGCAGTGAGGATTAATACCATCTTTACGGGTGGCACTGGCCAGAGAGCAGAGCAGTGGGTGCACATCTCCCAGAGAGGTCCAGTCTTTGAAGCCCGAACAAGGGGCCAGCCAGTGGCTTCCTAAAAATCGTCGTGGCTCTGGGGAGGATGCGTTTCTGGGGGTGTCCCGGTAGCCCCCCACTTCACCCATCCTGCAGCCCCCCTGTGCACAGCTCCCTTTGGGGGATGCTCTGATGCTCATGAAGGACTGGGGCTGCTGCTCTCCCCCCTTCCCCACGTGGCCCCCAGTTGTGGGGCTGCGGGAGGGCACCCCACCGCCCCGGGAGCTGTGACACCCCCAACACAAACCCGTCCTGCACCCCAAGGTGACCTCCTGCCGCCCCGCAGCTCCCGCCCAGGGGGCTGGGGGTCTCGAT